TCTTTGTTTCCTGACTCTCAGGTTTACTACCTTTTGTTTCTTGCTGTCCAGTGTCATGAAAATCATTGTTTTATATGCTTTCTCCAATTGTTGGTGGGTTTAGGTGGGAGGATAAATCTGACCCCTATTATTTACATTGTGGCTGGAAGCAGAAGACACATCAATATATTTTGATATGCTATACTTTAACATACTGAAAAGCAGTAAGATTCTATTAAGAATATAGAACTGATCACATTTATAGAGGACAAGTTGCTTACATTTTCATAATTTATATACTGACAACTCCCACTGCATATGACATATATGCACACATATAATTTCACCCAAAGTTTTAAAAATTATATAAATTATACCAAAGTATGAAGTTTTAATTGGATCTGTGGCTTCCCATTTTTCTTCAGATATTTATAAAGATTCATTTGAATATAACATTATGCCTATTTTTATATTACTAAGATAGTATTTAGACTTTATAATTAAACACTCATTTTTACTTATATTGAAATGCATACCTTCAAATTCTTAGGTAAGATGAAAATAAGGCTAATACTGAGTACACTTAGGAAATGCATGATTAAATAAGTTTATATCCCAACATGGACTTTAGTTAAATAGGGTGAATAACAGGCAAAGCTAGTTAAGTACAAGTACTATTGTATTCGTGTAGATCAGAAGAGAAGAAACATAAAGAACATAAAGGGAAAGAAGGGAAAGACAAAGAGAAAGAAACTGAAGGTAAAAAAGGCTAAAGGAAGGAGCAACCTGAAGAAGAGTAATGTTTAAATCCATTAGTAGCAATGGTCCAGTATGGCCAGGACAGGCTGAGACTAACTTTGATAGGGCTGTCTGTGAAAATGGATACAGATTAGGGCTTGAATTTTATTCTTTATTCATTCAATAAATCTTTGTTTACTGTTTACTATATTCCAGGTATATAAAAAAAATTTACTATATTCCAGAGGGCAGCAAACTATGAACAATGCTTATTTTTGTACAGCCTATGATCTAAGAAGAGTTTTTACATTTTTGAAGGTTAAAAAAAAGGATATGTAATAGAGATGGTATGGGTTGCAAAGCTTAAAATATTTGCTATTTGGTCATTACTGAAAAGTCTGTCAATCCCTGGTTTAAGATATGGGGAATACAACAGTATAAAAGACAAAGAATGGGGGAGAGAAGACTTTGCCCTTATGGAGCTGATATTCTAGTAAGAAGAATACAGATAAACAATAAATAAGTGAAATATATAGTTTTGAGATGGTATGTAGAGATTTAGAATAAGGAGGGGAAATTGGCCTGCTAGAGATGAGGTTCAGACTGCTTTACGGCCCATATAGCAAAATGAGGAGGATAGTCTTAGGATGAGGAATGATTTGATTCCTCAGAAAAGCTGTACTTTTTGAGGTGATAAAGGTCATAAATAGATAGCAGCAGGCTGAGATGGTCATTTTGATTGTGATTGTGGTGTTGTGGTGGGGACAGTGAAGGGAGTGGTGTATTAACTCAAGTCCCACGTTCTGGAGCTCTTAACTCTCCTGCCAGCGGTAAGGTGAATACTAGAAGAGGGGGTGGTCCTACTGCATTACCCAGAGCTTCTGGCTCCCTCTGGAAAAGCAAAGATATTTGGAACAGGGAAGCTGCGTATTCATGGCTGGGTTTGGAGAAGGTTTACCTGAAAGAACTGTGGAGAGAAAAGTAGAGGAAGGAAGCACCACAGCAGGATCCTTGGAATGACAAGAGTTCTAAGATTAGGCATTTCCTGATACTAGCAGTATATCAGGAGAGACCACTGACAAGTACAACATTCTAGAAGTTGAATAAATATGGAACAGGAAACAAAGTTACTCCTATTGCTAGCATCATAACATAAGAAACACCATACCAAGTCAAATCATATTCACCCATATTGTTTTTGTTAAAATGTTTGTTAAGCACCTACTATGCGCCAGCACTGTTCTAAGAACTGAAAATACAGTAGTGTGCAAGAAACTATGGATAAATCTCTCATGAAATTTACATTTGAATGCTGTAGGTAGTTTCAGATTATTCCATGTGCTGTGTTGGAAGTTGTGGTTTCCATGTGCAATTTGGAAGGTACTACTTTTTTTTTTAATTTTACATTTTTTAAAAATTTTATTATGTTATATGAATCACCATACATTACATCATCAGTTTTTGATGTAGTGTTCCATGATTCATTGTTTGTGCATAACACCCAGTGCCCCATTCAGTACATGCCCTCTTTAATACCCATCACCAGGCTAACCCATCCCCCCCACCCCCCTCCCCTCCACTTTAAAGAGGATGGGCAGAGGGACATTCTGAGGAGGTGCCTTTTCTGTTGGCTGTTGCAAAATGAAAAGGAGCTTACCCGTTCCACAAGTGAATGGGTGAGAGGAGCAAAATGAATGAAAGTGAGAAGGCCCTACGGCAATTAAAAGAGCTGTCAGAACACTGATTTATGACTATGGCAGTTTTTGCTCAGGCAGTTTTGTCAGAGAGCACTAAGGATCCTGTGGTGGGATGGTGCCTCCTGGGATGGCCTTCAAGCTGAAAGCTACCTTGGGCTTATTCTTCCTTTGTTTCTGTTGCTACTGCTCATAGGACCAACGAAGAGTGTAGGGGAGGGTAATTTCCTTCCAAATATCATGCCCCTAAGATTCAGAACCTTTATATGGTATCCTTTCTTTGTCCACAGTGGTACAATGCATGTCCACTTCATTTATATGCTTATTGTAGACAGCAGGAGGGCAATAAATTACCAATAACCATACTAGTAATAGCAATAGCTGAGATTTATCAAAAACTTGTATGTGCCAAGCACCTCACATGTAGTAATTAATTTAGTCCTCAAGCTAATCCTGAAATAGGGAGTAATACTAACCCCATTCCCAGATGGAGAAACTGAGACAAAGAGAATTAAGTGATTTGCCCAGTTCATACAGCTATTAACTGTTCAAAACTGGCAGTATGATTGCAGAATCCTTATGTGCTTAAAACTAATGTACTACACCCTCCTCTTTCCTCCAGGAACAATCTGTAAAGATAAAATAAATCCCAGGTATACACTTTTATTTTATATGGATAGTTTGTATCTCACTTAAAATATTTCAAGTGTTTCTCATACTCTATTGTTTTCATTATCCTCATCATTACTATAAATTCATCTAGTTTGAATCTGGGAATAATTGCTTTTTTGAGGTGTTAAGATCCCCTTTTCTTTCCTTCTACCTCCATGCCTGTTTAAACTTCTTTTCAGCTCTTTAAGTTCTTGGCTAATACAGTCAATCAATCAATCAATCAGTCAATCAGTTGATATGTTCTGCACTCTAGTTCTCAGTTTCAGCTCAAATATCTTTTTTTGTTTGTTTCAAGTTTTTATTTAAATCCTAGTTAGTTAATATACAGTATAATATTGGTTTCAGGAGTAAAATTCAGTGATTCATCACTTACATGTAACACCCAGTGCTCATCACAAGTGCCCTCCTTAATGCCCATCCCCCATTTAGCCCATCCCCCCTCCCTCCATCAGCCCTCAGTTTGTTCTCTATAGTAAAATGTCAATCCCTGGTTTAAGATAGGGGAAATACAACAGTATTTCCTCTCTCTCTTTTTTTTTTTTTTTGCTTCCCCTATGTTCATCTGTTTTGTGTCTTAAATTTGTTTTTATCTGACTTATTTCACTTAGCATAATACACTCTAGCTCCATCCACATCATTGCAAATGGCAAAATTTCATTCTTTTTGATGGCTGAGTAATATTCGGACACACACACACACACACACACACACACACACACACACCCCACATCTCCTTTATCCATCCATCAGTTGATGGACATTTGGGCTGTTTCCATAACTTGGCTATTGCTGATAATGCTGCTATAAACATCAGGGTGCATGTGCCTCTCTGAATCAGTATTTCTGTATCCGTGGGTAAATACCAATTGCTGAGTTGTAGGGTAGTTCTATCCTATATCTTTTCCTCACAATTCTGTCAGTCCTCCAACTCAATCTCTTTCTTTTCCCTGTGTTTCCCCCCACAGATTTATGACTTACTGTTTTGAAGCAAGTTTTGAGGATGGAATACCAAGCACTTGACTAAGTTCACTTTTTAAAAAAATATATCTTATTTATTTATTAGAGAGAGAGAGAAAGCACAAGAAGGGGGAGGAGTAGAGGAAAGAGAGAGGGAGAAACAGACTCCCTGCTGAGCATGGAGCCCAATAAAAGGCTCAATCTCAGGACTGTGAGATCATGACCTTAGCTGAAGTCAGCCACTTAACTGACTGAGCCACCCAGATGCCCCGAATAAGTTCATTTTACCCGGTAATCTTACTTTTGCATGCCAGGCAGTTAGTATTTGTGCAATTAAAATTTGTCACTTAGATAAATAACAACCAATAAATTTTATTGGGTGAAATTAATCGGGTGAATTTTTTTCCTACTCATGAGTTTTCCTTGCCTTTATGAGCAATTTCTTAGTTTACTGGAAACTAACAAACTTACTAAATCAAGTAAAGCTTAAGAGATTATACCGTATATGAAAATAAGTAAAATAGATTTCATTTTATAAAAATAGCAAGTAACTCCAAATACTCTAAAAAAAAAAAACATAAAACTCAAAAACCTTTGGTTAGTGGAAAAATGGCTTTTTATTATCAATTTGTTCATTCATTTCTTTTCGTATTTTAAGCCAAATCTAAAAAATTCTAAGAAATCACACAATGCCTTCTAAATTTGACTTATATATGAGAACGCCATATAAGAAAACATAAATTAGAGAGTTAAACATTATCATTGACTTTACTTCATTTATATTTCTTTTTTTTCCTTTTCATTTATATTTCTAGTCAACATATGCATTTCCTTTCATAAGATGAATTAGCTACCTAACCTCACTCAACAGGTTTTACTTATTCATCTCTATGTGTGCTATAGAGCCCTGGACAAAATGACCAAAATACAACAGAGCAGGACATGGGAAAAATTCCTTACCTTTAAAGAAGACAAAATTCCCATCACTGTTTTCATAAACTGCATCGATACTAGGAGGCAAGCCCCGCCAGAAGTAAGTAATTTGCATGGGGTATCCATCCATCACCCTGTTGTTTCTCACTCGCCAAAACCACTGGTCCTGCAAACCAAGCAAAAGCATCTCTCAACAAACATGCAGGCCTCCATGGCATTTCCCTGTGCAATGGTGTAACCCTTCTAAAACTAAACTAGTATCATTTTCACTGTCTCACACCAAAACCATCAAAGAAACAGCTAATCAACTTGCTTACAGTGATCACAATTGTTTTTGTAGCTAACTGCCCAATCTTTAATTCATACAATGTGATTAAAAGATAATATAAAAATATTTAACTTTAGCGTTTTACATTATCTCCAGGGTTTTTAGATGGAAAAAAAAAAAACAAAACAGAAGTAGCACAGACAAATCACTCCCAGATTTGTGGATGAAGTCAGTATTCCTGAATAAGAGAGCAGCATTGGACTTGTATACATTTATAGATATATACAGGATCTCCACACCTAAAATGGTAGGGATGGAATAAAGAGGCCATCCCTCCGGCTATGCCCACATTATACCCATCATCCCCTGTAATTGTAAGTAGTGTCCTCTTTCACCCTCAAATATATTTTGGTTTGGATGATAAATTATATGGTCACCCTAAATGAACAAAGTTATCTTGAAAAAAATCATCACAGTGATTCCAGTCTGGGTCGACTGCCTCTCCTATATGCTCTCACAATATCCTGACTTTACTCAATCATAGCATCAGTCATTTTATGTAAAAAGTGTCTACTCTTATCTCTAATGAAAACACATGACTTGCCCCATAGCAAGTATTTATAAATGTTGAATTAATCATTAGCTTGCATACAATATGTTTCACCATAAATTCTTATTAATGGCAAAAAAAAAATAACTTCCAAAAAAATGTTATACCTGATGACATTCAGTTATTTTCTGTGGAAAATTTCAGAATAAAGACTATCCAAAGTGCTTTAGTATTAGAAAAACTTGGTATATTTTAAAATATACTATTTCACTTCATTTCAAAATTTTGTATTTACAAACAACATTTCACTTGGAGATCATATATTTGTACTACTTAGATAAGTATGTTTCACAAAAATACTTCCAATTTCCCCTACTTAGACATTAATGAGTGATTTACTGTAGGGCTTTCCCAATCTTTTGGCTTACAACAGTTTAGCCTGACTAGATTTTCTAGGATTTGTGAGTTATTCATATAGTCATTCACACACACACAATCAACTGGGGATTCTTGGATTTCAAGTGAAATGATAAAAATGAACCTTTTCCTGTCTAAACCAATCCGAATATAAAAATTTTCTTAGGAATCTCTGGATAGTTGTACTTCATTCTAGTTATCCTGAGCTGTCTTCTCTAGGAACTTTTTTTATAAAAAGAAGGAAGTAGCTTCATTAACAGCTCTAAGTTTGTATCCTATTCTTGCTCTGTCCCTTAATAACGGTTATCCTGGTCAAGATACTAGTCATTGAGTTGTTACAAACTAATAACTGACTCATAGTATAAATACTGTCTTATTTTACTTTATTTTATTTTTATGTAGGCTCCAGGCCCAGTGGAGCCCAGTGCAGGGCTTGAACTCAAAACCCTGAGATGAAGACCTGAGCTAAGATCAAGAGTCGGACACTTAACGGACCGAGCCACCCAGGCGCCCCTAATTACTGGTTTTAGGACTTTCTGAGGACCTGGCACACAGTTGGCTGTTATTATCGTTGAAATTATATTGAAACTAGTTATTTTACTTTCCTTCACAATCCTGTTGACGGTTTTAGCTGCTGTTCTTTGTTCCCTCTTCAGGCTTAAGCCATATTATGGCTCTAGCCATGCATCTCTTTCCTACCAGTATCTTCTTATGTTATTAACCTTTTCTTGATAATTTTTATGGTGCCAGCTAACCTGGAATTAATACATATCTTGATTCACATATAGCAGATACATTAAACTGATCTTAAAATACAAAGGTACTCTATGAAAAAAATTGATCCAGGAAAATTAACATGGGCATGAAGCATTACTGCTAATAGTATGTGAGCAGATGATATTCTGATCTGATAATTTATTTATTTTTATTTTTTTTATAGATTTACTTGTTTATTTATTTGAGAGAGAGAGAGAGAGAGAACATGGCAGGGAGGGGCAGAGGAAGAGGGAGAGAGAAACCCAAGCAGACTCTGCATTGAGTGTGGAGCCCGACACAGAACTCCATCCCAGGACTGCAAGACCATGACCTGGGCCAAAACCAAGAGACAGAGGCTTAACCAACTGCACCACCTAGGTGCCCCTATTCTGATAATTTAAAAGAAAGCCAGCATCTTTTTGTTGAACTATGAGAGCTTTTAACTGGGTAGTAAAACTATGTCACTCTCTACCTAAAATACTGTTGTTGGTTTTTTTTAAAGATTTATTTATTTTAGAGAGAAAGAGAGCATGAGTGGGAGGGGCAGAGGGAGAGGGAGACAGAAACTCAAGCAGACTCCATGCTGAGTGCAGAGCCCAATGCAGGGCTTCATCTCAAGACCCTGAGATCAGGACCCGAGCTGAAAACAATCAGATGCTTAACCGATGTGCCACCCAGGTGCCCCTCCACATAAAATATTCTTCAGTTATTGTAATAGATATCCAAAAATTATAAAAAATGGACTCGGACAAAGAAATAACTGACCATCATTATTAATGGAACAATGAAACTGAAAGCTCTCTGAGCTGAAAGGTCAAAAAAATCAGGTAAAAAAAAAAGCCTGAACTATATTCCAATTTTTCTCAGAGAAGCACTTCACATTGTTCTATCTCCCTAATACTGAGACAAGGCCAGTGGCTTCTTTGGGACAGACATATGCTGCTGTGTGAAGATAGGAACACAATCTCAACTTGCCACTAATATAGGAAGAAATGGAAATTTTGCCTCAAGATAGGTGTAGTCAATTTGCAAAAATTCAGAGAGTAGTATGGAATCATAGGTGAATTCAGAATGATTTCTCATTGACAGCAGCCTTGGTGGAGAGTGATATAAATCGTCAATATTCAGGCTGTGCTTCTATTCAACTTATCCACACCTTCTCAGAGTGGTAGAAAGCAATGGTACAAATAATTCAGCAAGCACTCTGTCACAGAGGCTGTAAACATATCGCAGGCACTCTAGATTGCCATTTCAGAAATCGAGCTTGTGAACGATTCATAGGGAGAGGATATTTAAAATGCTCTTTAAGTCTCTATGCAAATTTTCCTTCTAAGTGAAACCTCCTCTGACCACACTATCTAAAATTGAATTCCCTCACTCCACCCACCCACATGTGCTTTCAATCTTACCCTCCCTTGCTTTATTCCCCTTCACCATGTTGATCACTGCTTAACACAGTACACGTTTCATTTATTGTTCATTCTCTCTCCACTAGAATATAAGCTCCACAATGGCAAAGATATCTGTCTTTGTTCATTTGTGGTTCCCCATTTCCAGAAAAATGTCTTGCACATGGTAGAAGCTTACTAAATATTTCTTGAAAGGAAACACATTTAAGGAGGAAAGGACAAAGTAAAGGTAAGTTATCCTTTTAGAAGTCAAAAGCTACTCAGATGTCACAAGAATACACAAGTTCCACTTGAACAGGCAGATGTTTAGTATCTATTCCATTATTTAGAAAGGTATGAGATATAAAGGTCTTTGAACCATGCAGGAAAAAATAATTGTTTCACCCTTCCAAACAACGTAGGTTTTGTTTTGGCCTTCGGTGTAAAGGGAAAGAAAGAAGAATCTGAGCTCTAAATCTGTTGTTTCTATCTTGCTACCGGCCTTTTTTTGGCTACAGCCCTTATAAAAGGGGGTGGGAGGGGTGGAAACATACCCTAAAAATAGTCAAAACTAGCACATTTGCAAAATCAACTCATGAAAAAAATAGTGCTTAAAAACTATCAAAGAGGAATTCCTACTTAAACCCCAATATTTCACTTTAGATACAAGTTTACACAGATTTTTCTTTCCATGTAGCATGGGTCCCAGGCAGACCACTTTGTTCACAAAGATAACAAATACACAGAGTACTGCAGGGTGTACACCAGGAGACAATAACATACAAGAGAAATTGGTTTGCTTTTTTAAATTCCCTTTAAAATTCTGTCTTAATACAGGCATATTGTTTGCTGACAAGTCTAGAGAACAAGTATCCTCCTGCTGTCTGAATACAAAGATCGGTTATGGATCTACGCTCAGGAGAGGGTGCTATTTTCAGACTTCTTTTTAGAAGCCAGTTAGTAGACCTGATCTACTTTTACTTCTCTTCTAATATACGTATTTGTTATTTAACCAAAAACTTGATGTAAATCTGTGAATGCCTCACGTGTCCAAGCTGAACATTTCCAGAAGGCATCAGTTGCTCTCTCAGCCCTCGCCTGCCATGCCACTGTGGGCTTCCTCCAGTCTTCCCCACCTCAGAAATAGCATCTCAAAACTCTTGATTCCTTGCCATCATCACTGTCACCATCCTACTCCGAGCCACCACTGTAGCTCACAGACTGCAGCGCCAACTCAAAGCTACCGATTTGCCTCCTACTGCATCTAAAATGGAATTTGAACTCGGTCCTTGTCTCCAGCCCCTGCACATCCATTCCAGGTCCCTTTTGTGCTCATGACGCTCTACCTAGTCTCTAGATACAGTATTTAGAGATGCAGTTTCCTGCTATCAACAACTGTCTTTCAAATGTTTCACCGAAAACTTGGGCATGCATGTTGCATTGCTTCCTCTCTCTCTCTTACATGCACACAGAGAAAATACAGGCAAGCACTTACAATTGTTAAATCTAGATATAAAGGGTGTATGTATTCATTCTTCCAACTTTTCTGTATTTTGAAATTTTTTATAATAAAATTTTTAAAATATATACTCAAGTTTAAAAAAACCTGAAAATACATAGGCAATCCCTTTATGATAAAATATTATTATATTATCACTAAGTATTTGCAATGGTTAAATAGTATTCTGGCTAGCAAATGTAAGATTAGTAAGCCTCCATTTGAGCCACTTATTTTTATTTTATTTTTTTAAAGATTTATTTATTCATTTGAGAGATGGGGAGGGGCA